GTCGGATTGAAAATCTGCTATACGCTGTCTTGTATAGCTTGAAAAGTGGTATGTTTTCAAATTACTCCTCGAATAACGTGAGAAAAGAATCAAAATATCTTCGGAACCGATCGGAATTTTTTAAATTATTTCTTATTCAAGCGACCATTTGTCTATGGCTCTCCGTATTTTGGACAGACAATATATAAAAAACATTTGATTCTCGCAAAGCAGCTCACATACCATGCATCATGAAGTGAAACTTTTATTTCACCGAGTAATAGATCAATATTTTTTCAATAGAAGATAGTAGTAGTATCAGGAAATTGCGTCAATAGATTTCTGAATCTTTTTGAATGACTCGTTCATCAAACATGCTGGTTTGTACTAGTCAAAAATAACTATGAAATTGGTGATATTTTTTTTTATGTTGAGAGATGGCGGTAATATCAATCGGTCAATCGGTGCAACCAAATCTTTAGAAAAATATTTTTTTGGTTTGGTTATTTTCGAATTTACAAAAAAGATATTGTATTTCAGCAACAGTTATACTTTTGCTGGATAAAACTGTTCTTCGGGTGAATTCATGTACCAATCCTAAGTCTGAAGTGGCCAAGTTCAAAGTCATAAGAATAAGTCGATTTGTTACGATGAAAAATTTTAGACATGTGCATGAAAATTAATTATCCATCATTCAACGACTTGAAACATTAAACCAATGGAGACTATCATGTTAATATAAGGAGCAGATAGTTGTTGGTTAACAGATGGATCAAAAACACCTTCNACTGTATTGTGTAGTAATCCTCTGAATGACATCTGATTCAATTCCATAACGGATATTTGGAGTATACTTCGAATGGGAAAAATAGTTTTGTATAATGAGCCTTTTTCCTGAGAATAGTACAGCAGACGTGTCACGAGAGGCAGCACTAGTAGTAGAGACAAACAATAGATTATTCACATGTAAAACAGTGTTATTTACGTAATATTAATTTATTATTTGAAAATATAAATCTAATATAAAAAATTATTTTGTGCTAGTATAATGCCAACAAAGCATTGCTGTTTTGCGAATTGTGCGTCGGACAATCGATATCCGGAAAAAAACGTGTTTTTTATACCATTTATTGAACCTCATAATGATAAGGTTAAATGTAAGAAATGGATACATGCTTCGAGGAGAGTGGATTTAACAGTGCAAAAAATAAATGAATATTCATATGTATGCTCTAAACATGAAATGAATAGTAAATTTTTCATAGTTAATTACCATTGATCAGAATGAGATATAACCTCAATCGTTTATTAAATTATATTCATTATATTCAATTGAATTTATTTCATTACCATCTATATTTGATTCATATTTCACTCGGAAATAAGTCTGAAATTCATAATTATTTTAAATATTACAGTTTGAATCTACCGCTACTCGTTTACTAGAGTCTGTATACTAACCTATCTATTAATTCACTTTTTTTCCAGTTACTTTTAAATTACCGCATGCCAGCCAACGTTTTAATCTTACAACATTGTTATCATTTACAGTTGCAAATTTTAGTTTTGCTCCAGGAACATTTTCTTCTGTTAAAAACATTCTTTTTTAATTGTACTTTACCATATGTTTATGTGAGGATTAGGCAGTGTTTGTCCCTACCGAACTACTAGCGCTGCTAGTGAGTGATTTTTCGAACTTCAGGAAAAAGATTCATTCAACGTTTACATAAAAGTAATTGTTTCGAAAGTATAATTCCATGTTAATATGAATGTGGTTATTTCCAGAGGGATTTTTCTTCCAATGAGTCTTTGGAAGACACACATGTTTTTGTATGAAGATGGAGAAATCCAAACCTTTCTTTACGATAATAATCACATTATCAGAAAAGATCATATTATTAGATGAAGACGTATAACATCTTCTCCAATTTCACTTGCAAGTAGAAATGAGAATTGAATATGAATGTAATTTTTCATTCCCGTTAATATCTTTACTCTCATGACAGGTCATATTTCCTCTTTTGAGGTTTACTTTGATCTCAGCATGAATAGGAATTGTGTTTTGAAATCAAAATATTGTTCTATATTTTGCATTCATTTTATTCCTGGGTCTTGGTTTTTTTTTTCAATTTCTCTGAATATTCAAATCATTTCCGAAAACAAAAATATGTTTGTTATTTGCGTGTTGAAATTCGATATTAATAAACAAATTCCAATATTGTGTGTGTCTATTCTGTCTATTGAACTATTCTTTGAATCACAACGATGGTATTTCTACAACATCAGACAAATAATGTCGCACCTACTACCTCAATGATTATTATCGTTAACTGAATAGAATAGTAACTTCGAGCTATTTACGTGAATCGTATCATTCACATTGGCCTCGATATACGTTTTCTATTTATAGTTTTAGCATCCCGTATCAAAACAGACACGATGTTGATAAACAGAAATAGGAAAAATATTCTATTCAATGGAGGAGTAAAGTGTCTCATCCAGTGGTTTTCCGGGAAATCTCGAGTCATCTAACCGCATGCTCTAGCTTTATACAGGGCCATCAATACGTTAAACAGTTAATGGATAAGTTTCGAACTTCAGGTTCTGTCCACAACAGAAAACATGAAGTATCCCGTCCTGTCAGAAATGAAGCAGTTGAAGTTGCAGTTTCAGGACATGTACAAATGGATAATCGACAATCTATCAGACAAGTAGTTAGAGCGTCTGGTGTATCAGCTACTAATGTTTTTCGGATTTTGAAAGCCTACAAAGTCCATCCTTTCAAAATAAGGCTAGTTCAGGATATGAACAAAGATGATCCTGATCTTCGACTTCAGTTTTGAGAGGTGTTCAGCGAGAATATGATCAAATCACGTACTAAATCGTTTAAATCACTTTGTGTTTGCGGTTCATAACTTGGGTCACTATCTTCATATTCCTCATGCGAACAAGTTCTTCCGGACTGGAATCCCGACTTTCTGGTCGTTTTAGAGGCTTCGGCACAAGCAGTTCGGGACTATGTAGAATGGGTCTGTTGGCCGAAGACAAGTTTGGATACTGGATGGTATGTTTGGATTTCGTTGTAATACCTTTCATTTTTGTTTGACTCAAATAAAAGCCCAACCGAATAGGAGTCTCACACATGTTACACAACATTTATCTGGGAACCAGAATTTATCTTGATGCTGTACAGTAGATCCAAAATATTCTTAAAAGCACTGTTCAATTAATGTGGTGGAATTTCGATGCTGGGATGTAAAAGCTGATTCTTCACACACATAACAAAACTGTCAGGGTTAGTAGAACACTTTCGTTGCATACATTTTATTTTCGATGTACCTAACGAAAATAAAATGTATGTTAGCTGATGCAATACTTATACAGCCGCCTAAATGATGTATATTAGGTCAGAAATGAATATATAGCTGTCACAAAAACACTGGATGTGATTGTAACAAAATTATTATATATTTATAATGGGGGTACGCCAACATAAACAAAACACATCACAAAGTTCATGTGACAAAAACACTGTTGACCTGTGTCATTAAAGGTAATCTCAATGGAGACACATACCCGTATCTATTACAAGACTGTGTACACAATTTCAGAAAATGATGACAAGTTAGTAGAAAATGAAATAACATTCCTGCAGGATGGTACACCCCCACATTTTGATGTTCTGTTGGGACAGTTTTTGGACGTACGTTTTCTAATGCGTTGGATCGGCAGAAGGAGTCCAGTGGAGTGGCCAGCTAGATCATCTGATCTCACACCAATGGACTTCTTTCTGTGCGGACACGTGAAGTCGAAAGTGTACTCTACTAAGCCTACAAATCTAGAAGATCTGCAACAGAGAATTGTTAGGAAATGCCGATTGCTGACTTGGGACATCTTGAATTATGTACGTAACGCTTTCGAGGCTAGACTGTATTATTGTATGTAACTAGGTGGAGGTTATTTTGAACAATTTATCTGTCAATTTTGTTTCCACCGATATAATTTGTTGTTGCTTTCCTCATTAAAAAAAACGACAGCAAATTTTCTGTTTTTTCTTAAATGAAACGTTCAACATTCAATTTCTCAAAAACGTATGAACCAATTTCGGAAATAATTACAAAGATTATACAGGGTCAAAAGACTTTTCAAATGATGTATCACTCGACCCCCATGCCATTGAAAAAAATAGGGGAAGTAGTTGCTGACCGCAGGGGGGTGAAGTTTTGGATATAATTTGTATATCAGAATTAGTCCCACTGAAAATAAGAATTACCCTGCACGCATCGATGATGCGGTTTCTTAAGTCATCTACATCGCGAACAGGAGTACGATAAACCAAATGCTGTAAATGGCCCCAAATAGAAAAATCGAGAGGATTGAGATCCGGGGATCTAGCGGGCCAGTTCTGCGGTCCTCCTCGACTTATCCATTGATTTGCATATGTTTCAGTTAAATTCTGACGTGNGAATTCAATTTCTGATCCTGTCACGAATGACTCAATCAGAAGTTACTCTTCCATTCAACTTCGAAAAAAATAAATTAATAGAAAATATTGTACATGCACAACATACGTCAATCCTAGATATATGTCATTGGCAAATGCACCAGAATCAATTATGTTAGTACTGACAACAATAAAAAAAATAATGGGAATCAAACTGTATGAAATGCTCATTCACATCAAAATTATTTTACTGACAGAGGAGGTGAATAATTTGTGTTCTGAAAACAAGAATATTTTTCTCCGTGTATAATAATCAACCCCTCATGCGATATACCTACGTTACTTTGGGAAGCTTAATTTATAATTCTATTTCTGGCCGTATCATGCGACGAAATATGTAATTCGATTATTAGCAGCTGTTTATCGAGTTATGATTCTTGAAAATATTGAACGACCCCCTTCCTATTTTTTGTAAGCAGACTCGTGGTGGTAAGCGCTTCGATCAAAGTTCGTTCGAGCTGCGATCAGCTGGTCGTCGGGTGAAACTGAAACCAAACGAAAAGAATAGTCTGACCACTGACCACATAGTAAGAGATAAGAAAACAGGCCAAAGAAATGACATACCTCCAAACTAGAGACTCCAGTCGTTCTTTGACTCACGTAGATCGTAGTCTAGCGGTCGGACTTGTCGCTTTGTGTCTAGTTCAACATGCGTTATAGGGGCACCAAGTCATAATGTTTTTTTGATTAGTTTCTTAGATGATTTATGGAATATTGTGATTATGCGAGTTCTTTTATCGACGGATCATTATTTGTTTTGCTGGAAAAGCAAACACTTCAAGGTATTTATGCTTTCCACATATTCTTTGACTGGGTTTTTCATGATAGTTTTGAACTGAGAGAAGAATTTTTATTCTGGATATCAAATATGAAACAACGATTTGATGACAATAAATCAACGATGTTTTTCAGTCATAATTCGATTCAAAAAGAATAATTTTTATTTCAAAATTATTTTTTATTCAATTATCCTTTTGGTGAGTTGGTAACCCTTGAATTTGAAAGGGTTGATGTTCTTAGGGTTTTCTAATTTGGTAGATGAATGCGAAAACAGTATTACAGTGCAAATTCGTGAAAAACAGTTAAATATGAATATTGTATTCGTATTACATTTTTAAGGTTATTGAAATTGACGTTTTTGAATTTACTTATTTGTTTAAATTGACAGCGGTTTTGAATAATCTTGTTAGTAAAGCATAAATCATCTTTTTTTCTCTCAACTAACTCTTCTATATCATCTTCAAAATACTAGCAAAAATAATAAAACGCATTTGCTGATGATGAAGTTCAATATCAAGAGGAATATGGAGTGAGAAACAACGAACAATAGAATTATATGAAAATTGAAATTTANCCCTTGAAAACTGTTCATTATATTTATTGTTCATGTCTTGGTAACTTTAATCCTATAGGTAGTATTTTATTGATTCTCGTCATAAAAAGTCGCCTTCCTTCCAGTTTTTTTAACAATCAGCAGAAAAAGTCCAAGGCTAATAATTAGTAACTTTATTCTTCTCGAGGTCGAACATATTTTGATTGCCTTGAGACGTAACATTTATATCGAAGTTTCTCGATTTTTCTCTGATAGTTGTCTCAGAGATTGTTTCGAATCTAAACTCGGTGCAAACTCACAAAAGTGTTTTTTAGAGCTGCTTCGTTATTTAGTAAGATATATATTTTTCTCTTTGACTCTTTTCAAGTATCTCTGGATCCAAAATGTTTTTCATAAATCAAAATGTTGTATTCATCAGTTACTTATCGTATTCAAAAAATATCTGCCCAGTCTTCAGAATTGGGCAGAATGTAAGTTCATAAGTATAGTTTTCTCTCCGCTGATTTTTTTTATTTCTCAACTTCCTCGACAGATATCAATGGAAAGAAAGGTTTCGGCTTTGAACTTCTCCATCCCAAAAATTAATCTCTCCTAAAAAATACCCATTTCAATTTACGTCAAAGTAGTTCTGAAATGTGAAATATGTCAATTTTGTTGATTTCTGAAACATACGATGTGGCCAAGTATCGCCCATTTCTAAGCAGCTATTCGAAATATACTTTTATCCAGATCCAATCATTTTTGTATTGTTCCATTCAACTCGATGTTCACCGTCTGATTTCAAAATATGTTCTGACAATTTTGATTCTTCATATTTGGAGGCTGACCGTAAATTAAATTATCTGAAAAAACAGTTTGTTCAGGCTAGTCTCGAATTACCTACTCTGTAGGTTGATGGACTGACACCTATCAGAAAACAACTACTCCCCTGGCTAATACCACGAAGGGCGTTGGATTATATCCGACGAGTATCAGTGCAAGATTCTTCACTGATGCTATTACTGCATATGATGTTGGCAATATAACCGCCGCAATCGATTTTCAAATATTGGAACCCACTTGCAGAACGGTTTTGATGTATATCAAGTTGATGAGACACTTTTCGAAATTTTCAAAACGAATGATTTTACAATTTGCCGCTATTTATTCGCTAATTAGTTGCGGAAGAAAATATGTTTTCGCTCCCTTTTTTATAAAAATACATGTTGTCTCGCTAACTTGATATCAAGTTAGCGATAGCACTTTTTGATTATAAAATGTTCCAGAACTTTGACTAGACCATTGGTTTAGTATATTTATTCGCTAATTAGTTGCGGAGAAAAATATTTTTTCGAATACATGGTGTTGTGTATTACATATATTTATATATTGGGACACCCGTGATATCATTAGTGTAAATTATTATCCAGTTGTCAAATAGATGTCAATTAAAAAAAATCACAAAGAGAAGTCACATATTTTGCCATAAATGTACTATTGTATGTAAAATGGTCAAACAAAATACTCTACTCTATTCTAAAATATTGAATATATTTTTTGTTTTATGCACTTGAAGATATTTTGAATATTTTTATCAAAAAAATACATGTGATTTTGACTAGAGGGAGGATAGTTCATTACATCACCAAGCATCACCAGAGGGGGAGGAGGGGGGTTAAAAAGTTACTCAAAATATCACTTGATTAATGGACGACCCCGAAGTGCCGAAACAGCTCTTTAATATATTGCTTGATCTATTAAAATTGATCGGTTAATGTTTGGAATCATGGTAGAAAAATAATTGATTTTTGTGTATGTTAAATCAGGCTGATTCAATATTTCGTAGCAGAACCTTCGAAAAAACAAATCAATTACCTAATGAATCAATTTAAAGCCGAATTCAGGAGGGAGATAACCTTGTATAAGGAATTGGGTAAATTTCGGACATTCGGTTGGTAACCTCTTCCGCAGGCAGATTTCGGATATGCAGTTGGTTAGCTCTTTCACAGGCAGATGGCGCGATGACAAACATGTTGTTTGTAGTTCGCTTCAGCCTAGTTCAAAGAATGATACTCTGAAGGAATTCGATTTTCAATTATAGGATATCATCAACTTTATGTTGATGATAGACACTTCCTTGCACTGAAGAATGCCGATAGTTGTTGAGTTGATGATTATTGAATTCCTGATGCTGTTTGTAGGGTCATTTGGTTTGTAATTGACTCTTCATTTTCTATTGAATTTATCGTTGAATCTTAAAAGTGTCTCGTCAACTTGATATACGTCCGGTTTTGGGCTGTTTGGCCATTTGTCAGTGCAAGTTGTCCATAATGAAGTCGATGATTTTCTATGAAATTGAAAATCGAATTCCTTTCAAAGTATCATTCCTGGAACTAAGCTGAAGCGAACAACAAACAACATATTTGTCATCGCCCCATTTGCCTGTGAAAGAGGTAACCTTGTATAAGGAATTGGGTAAATTTCGGACATTCGGTTGGTAACCTCTTTCGCAGGCAGATTTCGGATATGCAGTTGGTTGGCTCTTTCACAGGCAGATGACATGTTGTTTATTGTTCGCTTCATCCTAGTCCAAAGAATGATACTCTGAAGGAATTCGATTTTCAATTATAGGATATCATCAACTTTATGTTGATGATAGACACTTCCTTGCACTGAAGAGTGCCGATAGTTGTTGAGTTGATGATTATTGAATTCCTGATGCTGTTTGTAGGGTAATTTGATTCGTAATTGACTCTTCATTTTCTATTGAATTCATCGTTGAATCTATCAACAAATCTGGAAAAACGTTCTTTCAGAACATTCGATAATAAAGGTTATTTTTTTTTAATTTTCAGTTCAATAGCAAATCGTTTTTGCTCTATTATAAAGACAATTCATTTTACCTTTCTTAACACTTAACGCATGATGATTTGATGGGTAGTGGAAGTATCAATTAGTATGTGTTTTCTTTCGATAAACATTTGTATACATTTGATCTGACGACCTCTCCAACATTACATCATTGAAAGGAAGTTGACCATTTGTTCAATCTCGATTGTGAACTTTATTCTTCAGATTCTCTCCGTTGATATAATTTATAATTTAACAAAGCATTCAGACCATCATGGTTTTCATTTCAAATAGAAAACACATCGTACCTCCACCAAACTTTGGAACCGTTCTCCTTAAAAAATGACTTTTGTTCAGTCATTTTCTATTCAACAAAACCTGTGTCACAAAATGCCAAATATCATGTGAAAGTCGAATAACGTTGATATTTTTATGGTATTCAGAAAAAAATATCGATTTCTAAGATACCTGTCATTATAAGCAATAAACTATAGATACGTGTTTCATATTCTAAGATATTTTGGTGCTCTTACTGCAAGAAAGACTTTCATTTTAATACACTCACCGACCAATTTCACCGACTCATTTCAAACTCAAAAATGAAAAATATGATAGGTACTCATGGAATAATCAATTATGTCAGTAGTATTTTTGTAAATTCCTCAATCACTTTTTGTTATTCACCTTCTGTATGAAACATTTTTGAAATATTCAATACTTATTTTCATGTCTGAAAGTAGTTGACGATGTTTCATGGGGAATTTCATTAGTTCGGGCTTCCATTATCTAATATGGAACGTACAATGAAATTACAATAACATAAAAATGAGTCAAAAATTAAAAATTGAACAATTGAAAACTAATCGACATCAACTACTAAAAATAAAAGCATCAAGAATCTAGTGGATCGTGCTTTCGAACTCTGTAATAAGAAGGAAGCAAGATCTCGAGAAGGAACTAAGCATCATCAAAAAAGATCTTCAACGGAATGGTATCTCCAGAGAGATGGTGGAACAGACTGGCTAGAAGACAGCACGAGTCTCGCAAGGAAGAGAAGCCATCACAACCAGTGCTTGCACTTCCCTACATCAGAGGATTATCGGAAAGTAAGAAAAGAATTGGGTCAAACATCAGAACCTGCTTCAGATCTAAAAACACTATCAGTAGCAGCCTCAAAAAAACCAGACCACCAAATGCGGACTTATAACTGTTATTTTTAGCTATTCAATTTAATTATGTTTTAATCTTATTTGTTCCTTCAGAGAATTCAAATCATATGTCATATTGGACAATGGAAGTCCGAACTAGTAAAATTCACTTATTTTCTACGATATTTTCAACGTCTGTTTTAGTCAAATTGTCATTCCTGGTAACTAATTTGAATCCAGTGATATAGTCCAAAAACAATAATGATTCTTGTGAAAATTATAATCTCCTCCGTATTTCATTTCATATTTTTCTTGCCATTCATGTTGAAAATTGGGACATATCATTTCGCGCGCTATTTTTACTGCTCTAGTTCATTCAACCTGAGAACTGGAGTCCCAATTAAAATGAATAACCCAAAGTTGTTTTTGAACTGTTAAACTGCAGTGACCCATCGGAAGAATGTGTGTCGGA